TAGGATCCAACTCGTCGTTTGAAGAAAGAGAGTCATCCACAGAATGAAAGCTTGATACTGATCGTAGACCTCCGGCTAGTCCCAGTCACAACTCATCATCACCTTCATCCATCACGTTGCTGGAGATCTTTTTACCTGCAGGAAGAGTTGAAGTAGTAGCGTTGGTGGTAAGACGGCAATGACGAGGAGGATAAAGGAGGGGGGGGGGGGTGTTGGCAAGTTAGTGCTGGTGAATTCGGGTTCTTTTTCTACTTCCTTCTCTTTCATCCATAGTAGTACTACTACTAGTATCAGCAGCAGAAGAAGAATGAGGAGGATCTGTAGCATTCGGAGCCGTAGTAGTTGCAGCAGCGGCAGCCGCAGCAGACGACTGCTCCTCCTGCTTCTTTAGGCGGCGACTTTCCTCTTGGATCTGGTCTATCATCTCCTTAATTTTTTGCTGGCGTTCTTCCTCCTGCTTCTTCCTCGGCTGCTGTTCCTCACCATCAGAGGACGAAGCCTGCTCATTGATTCGTTTACCACTTGGTTCCTTACCTAGTGCAGCCTTCCTGTCACCAACACGGATGCGACATTGACTGATCTTCTTCTTCTCAGGCATCTGAGCCTCTGCAATAATCTGAAGCACTTTGATTATTCCTCCAGGAGGTAGTGCTTCTCCAATATCAAGATCGTCTTTGCTGACAGTCACGTCCACGACTTCCACATCCACCGAGTCCTCATCGGTGACCATTGGTGTTGCAAACTGGATGGTAAAGCTGTCTTCAATTATCTTCTCTGGATAAGGATCACCAGTCGACTCATCCCTCTTGTACAGATTCCGGAGGTATCGTCTCATTGTTTTGAAGACATTGTGACCCTTGTCAAACTGGTGCGTCTGTCCCTTTTGGATGGCAACATGCCTAGAGACCTTCTTAAACCATTTGGGCCAACGGATGGTAACAAGAAGAGTGTGGCAGTCGATCCATTCTGGATCAATTAGCTCACTATAAATTGCATTATGCATGATAATTCTGATCATGGTGTATACATTGTCCTCGTAGTCTTCATCAGAAGAATCACTGTCACCAGTGTTTTGGTTGTCCCACGTTCCAATGATGGTTGGATAGGCACTGCCAGTGACTTCAACGTGGCTGCAGTCCTCAAGACTGAGTCTTTTTGCAGCCTCATTTAGCTCGGTCATAGTCATCATTGTCCTGCTGCTGCTGTTTGCAACCACCAAGGAGGGTGTAGTAGTAGCAGAAGCCCTTGCTGCGGACGGCGCTTTCTTCTTCAACGAAGCAGTAGATCTTGGTGTAGAAGCGATGGGCATACTGATGCTGTCGCTTGTTCTTTCTTTTGGTGTTGATACTGATACTGGTGGTGGCGCGGTGGGAAGAATTTCTGTGTCCAACTCAGGAGAAAATAGGACTCTCTTTGTTCTGGGGGAGGAGGATAATTCAGCACCAATTGCTGCAGTTGATGGCGTTTTCGGAATACCTTCAACAGATGGCTCTGATATCTCAAATGATGGGATGTTCGCAAGTTCCTCTGCTAGGAACGCTAATTTCTTTTTGGTGGAGGCAAGAAGACAAGTTATTGAGAGCAGGACAACACAGAAGAAACCAGCAATGAATGTACAACCCGATTCTTACTACAACACGATTCTTACTTTAGCTTGATTATAAAATCCACTTCTAGTCTTCCAATGCTCATGAATGACTTGGTAGTGCCTCCAATGTTCTGTGCAACCGGATTTTGAAATATCCCAGCCTTGCTGTCCGTCTGTTTGGCAGTAAGACCAATAGTAGTACACTACAAGTTGCTCTATGACAGATAGATTTGAGAATGAAACCTCGGGATTTTGACCTTTCTTTATCTTAATATTTGATCCAAGCGTCCTTGCCATTGCGGCGGGCCCTGGTTCTTGCTTGTGGTGGTGCTTCTTGCTGTTGTTCTTCAGCTAGCAGTAACAGTTACTGTTGCTACAGTTTTGTGGGGGGAATATTTTAGTGAGCAAATTAGTGAGCAAATAACACGGTGTTTGTGTGAGGGGAGTTTAGTACATAGAAAATGTACCAAACAGCAAATAACACAGTGTATAGCGTGGAACAAGGAATCAACACGGCCGGCACGCGCAACGATAGTACGAGTAAACTTGAAGACCACGGTGCGTTTCATTATAACCCCTTGATATCAGGGTTATATATAAAATGTCTTGCTCTTTTGAATGTCATTGAAATGAGTAATTAATTAACAAAATTAACTACTCGAGTTAATTACTCGAGTAATTAAGTTTAATAACCCAGATATAAAAAGTTAATAACTCGAGTAATTAAGTTAATTAACTCGAGTAATTAAGTTAATTAACCCGATTTGTGAAGTTAATTAATTTAACTTGTGCCTTCCCCCAAAAGTCTGGAAATTATAACCCCCAAAACAAAAGATTCTTGAGTTTACGTTAAAGTTAACGGTCTGTCCAGTAAGCGTTTTTGAGGTCTTAATTACTCGCGCGTTGGTATTAAAAAACGGGCGATTGGGCGCTCTCCAGCCTTTCTACCACCAACACGGATCCGACTGGTCCTCTGCTTCTTGTTGCTGGGCATCTCTGCTTGTGCAATTATCTGAAGCACTTTGATGATATCCACCGGGAGGGAGCTCCTCTCCAATATCTAGATTATCCCCACTAACAACAACATCAACAACCTCTACATCAACAGATTCCTCATCGACAACCATTGGTGTATCAAACTCAATGGTAAAAGAATCTTCAATGGTCTTCTTGTTCTCACCACCAGCACTTTCATCCTTCTTGTAGAGCTTCTGGAGGTATCTTCTCATGGTCTTGAAGACACTGTGGTCCTTACCAAACTGATGCTTCTGTCCCCTCTGGATAGCAACATGCCTGGAAACTTTCTTGAACCATCGAGGCCACAGGATAGTGAGAAGAAGAGTGTGAGGATCAAGCCATTCAGGAACAATTAAGTCCGCATGAATTGCATTGTGCATGATGTTTCTAATCATCATGTAGACACTGTCCTCGTAGTCTTCATCAGATGAGTTGTCACTGTCTCCAGTGTCTTGGTTGTCCCAAGTACCAATGGTAGTAGGATAAGCACTGCCTACGACTCTCACACGACTGCAGTCCTCAAGACTCAGCTTGTTTGCAGCCTCCGTAAGCTCCTCCATCAACATCTTCGTGGCCGGTGTGGTTACTGCTGCTGATGGCGGTGCCTTCTTTCTTGAAGTGGAGGACAAGGAGCGTGGTGCACTGATAGGCATGTCCTCTTGTCTTTGTCTCTTGGCAGGTGATGGTGAGCAGAGGAGCTCTGGTGAAAAGAGGACCTGCTTGGTACTAGTAGTAGAGGACCTCCTTGTCGTTGCTGGTGGAGAGGAAAACGCAGCCGCACCACCTCTAGCAGCTAATAAAGCAGATGATGGAGTTTGGGGGACACCTTCAACAGTTGGCTCTGTTATGTAGAAACGAGGAATATCAGCAAGCTTCTCTGCAAGAAAAGCCAGTTTCTACGGGTATTTGCAGGGTTAGCAACAGCATCGGCAGCAACGGCAGCATCGGCAGCAACAGCAGCACCAACCCAATAGCTGGTGTACGACCGCACCACCGCCAGCACCAGCAAATGATCGCTACTTACTTTTGCTCGGTTGTAGAATCCACTGCCTGTTTTCCAATTCTCATGTATGACTGGATAATGCCTCCACTGTTCCCTTGAACCAGATTTTTCAATGTCCCAGCCCTGTTGTCCTCCTGTGTTCAGATAAGTCCAATAGTAATACACTACAAGTTGCTCTACAGCGGATAGATTATTGTATGATACCTCTGGATCCTGATCTTTCTTTATCTTGCTATGGGACGATCCAAGCATCCTTGCCATTGTCAACACAGCACTGCTTGTTGTAAGAGTGAGGATTAAGCAGCACAGCTGGATTACATGGTATTATCACGAGGACTAGCAAAAAAGAAAGTTAAAAGGGGAGCATTGCTTACGAGGACTGGCCCATGATTGATTGAGTGAGCTTTGGTGGGACCGAGGACCGGTCTGCGCGTGCCTATTCTGTCACTATAGCCAATCCCGTCAAAGATAATATTGCTAGATAAAAAATTAATTAATTTGAGTAATAAAGTTAATTAACGCGATTAATAAAGTTAATTAACGAGATTAATAAAGTTAATTATCGGCAATATAAAAGTTAATTAATAGTGACGTTGGTCTTCCCCCAAAGACACAATTTTCTATGCCCCAAAAACAAAACAGTGTTCCTCTGGTTGGAGTTTCCCGGAGCGCCTGGCGTGTGGTCTCTTTCAACAGCCAATCCCGTGAGTATTAAAAAACGCACGATCAGGGGCTCTCCTGGACTGTAGGAAGTAGTGTACTACTAGTAGTACCATCACAGCATACTTGGAGCAGTACGATTCCCACTGTACCGTACGTTCTGCAACAGAACAGAGATTTTTTGGCGCGTATTCTTTCCAGTGAAGACTCGAGTTAAAATTAAGTTCTCGCGCCGAAATTAAGAAAAGAAACCCTCATGTCGTCAGTTGCAGCAGTTGTAACCGTACGTACGATCCTACGGCGCGTGCCCATCTCGTCTTCGTAATACTCGTAATGGACCCATTTCGACTCCGAGGATACTACGAGTACTCGTACTCGTTCCAGTACGAGTACGTACGGTGCGAGTTTGTAACGTATGTTATGTACGTCGTCTATTTCGAGACTTGACAGTAGTGGAGGAAATCCCATGGACACGAATACTGTACAGTACGGTACGAACTGTACGTACAACTACTTCTTCAGATGTTTCGAACAGTCCCGACGTCTTAAGCAGTGTCTATGTACAGTATCGTACGTAGTATCGTAGTACAGCAGATCCCACTGTCCGTACTACAGTAATGGCGTAGGAGTACGTACCGTACATTACGAACCAGTACGATAATGCAATTTTGCGAAAAGCTGGAAAGGTGTTCATTTAGAACTAAAATCTGGCAATCCAAATACAGTGGGGTAGTTCAAAAACAAAAGCAAAAGAAGACCAAAACAAAACATCATCACAATACAACACAGAAATAAGAAATAATGACTGATTACGACGTTGACCATCATTCTAGAAACGGAGAAGACGAACGGAGCATAAAAGTTTGCCAGGGTTTGACGGAGGACCAACGTCGAGAAATTCGAAAGCGCCAGCGACTTCTTCGCAAAGAAATCGACGATCTTGATGTTGATCAAGCACGTGATAAGAACAATGAAATTTTCAAACAAGTCAAATACGTTCGAGAGTGTGTTCTTGACTCTGAAAATGTCGAAGAAATTACCAAGAAGTTCGGCAATAAGATTGATCAGCTGATTCAGGTGAGCTTTGTTTAGTTCATTGCAGCGAAGTGTGAAACGCCTTTATACCCTGTACTTACCCCACACCGCGTGTTGTTTGTAGATCCCTCGCTATGACGCGGATAGGGTTGTTAGTATGTTAGTGAAAAAATGTGGGATCACTAGAGGAGGTTACTCGTATTTCGACTGGAGAGGATTGGGTGACCAAGTAGGAGTTTGTTTCAACGCGATTCCTTCTCAAGTCAGCTTTTTGAATGGACCACTTGTTGATGGAAAAGAAGTGAAAGTTAAGCAAAGAGCCAAGCGAGTTCGTAGCACGCAACCAGAAAGTGATGCAGAAGAAGAACGACCTGAAGACATCAAGGGCCACACAGCACGCGGTAAAAACCAACTGAGCGCTGTCAAGGAGAACATACAAAACGTGGAGAGAGCCCTTGTAAAGAAGGTCGATTCTACTTATCGTGCTAGAAGTAGGTCATTGACTGAAACGTATGGTGGAAAAGATGATTCTTCCGGGAAAATTAAAAAAATGACGAGACTCAAGAAGAAGATTAAACGGCACAGAGATGTGAATGCCATCGAGCTATTGTTCAACCCAAACTCCTTCACACAAACGGTAGAGAATCTCTATCACTACTCTTTTTTGGTGAAAGAAGGGAAAGCCTCACTTGATGTCCGTCAAAACAAAGTGTTAGACGAGGAGAGTGGATTGAAAATTGACGGCGGTCCGGTTGTCAAATACGTTCGTGACAAAAATCCTCCACCCCCTCCCCGCCAGGCGATTGTAAATTTGACCATGGAAGACTGGAAAAATTTGTGCGAGGCATACGAAGTAACATCGTCTTGTGTACCTCATCGGGAAGGATGAGAAAAGAGCCTAAACGGTGAACTAGACCAGTGAGTAAATGATGAGACAGTCTAGATCGGTATGCCTGGTGCACAGCATCGTTTACGAAGTATAGTCGTCTCGTGTGCCTCATCTGGTTCAACAAGAATTGAACCTAAAGAGTTCGCTAGATTAGTGAGTAGTATGTTGTTTGGAAACTTATGATGGGGATCATAAATAGTTAGTTTTCAGCATCACGATGTGAAAAATGCGGTAGTTCTTGCGTTTTAGGTTCTTCAGATAAGTATTAGGGATTTCTTATTCGAAACGAATTTTTTTGTTCTTTCGTTTCTGTTCGGCCGATGCAGCGGCAGCTCCAGCGGCATCGCGCCTGGCTTTCTGCCGAAGTCGTTCCATGTTTTTGCCAGAATCACTCTTTTCATCGACACTCGCCCATTCCAGTACCAAATGCCTTCCATACAAGTGAGTCCGCGAGAGCGCGCTCATTGCTACCGAGGCTTCCTTTCCGGTAAGGTATTCGACAAATGCAAAGCCCCGATGGTTTCCGTCGAATTTTTTTGGCAAACGGACCTTCTTCAGCTGACCGAAGGTGCCGAAAAGCTTCAAAATCTCACTTCGTGTTGCCTGAAACGGAACGTTTCGTACCATGATTTTCGTTGGAGGTTTCTTGCCGGTGGAAGCGGAATTCGACGGTGTTCGAGAACCTTGTTTTTGAGAAGAAATGGCGAGCTGCAAAGAGTGTCCATCAACAAGTTTTCCCTGAAGCATTTTGATGGCTTTTTTGGCCAGTTCGTGTGATGCCAGTTCCACAAAGCCGTATCCCATAGACAAGGACCGGTTTTCTTGCGTTGCATGGCCACTATTCGTTGGAGTGACTTTGCGTGGAATACGAACAGATAAAACATTGCGACCATCTTTTTTTTCAAAGATCTGCTGCAGGCTTTCTTCAGTGGTTTCAAAGTTGAGATTTTTGATGTATAGCGTGGAAGACACATGATCGTTTTCACCATCATCATCGCCAGAGTCGTTGCCATCGCTTTTATTTCCGAAATTGCTTATGGAAGTAGCTGTATCCATTTCTGTTGCCGGTCGTTCGTTATCATCTGATTTAGCACATTGGCTGGATATGTCATCTTTTGAAGACGAATCCCTGTTGTTTATGTTGTCCAGTTTGGCTTGCAGTGGTGCCCACTCCAAATAAATCGGTACATGCTTGAATCGGCGATACGCTAGTTTGCGAAAGGCTCGCTTGGCATCAGTGGAATGTCCGTACTCAATCATTGCGATAGTTCTACTCGGAGGCAATAGAATATTGACTGGTTCCTGACCAACATGAAAAAGTTTCTCTAACTCCTCGACACGGGTATCAAAAGGTAGATTTTTAACGAGAATTGCCGTTTTGCTTCGTTTTTGTGCTGTTTTTTGAGTCGATTGGTTTTCGTTGGCGGAAACTAAAGCTTCCATGTCCACCCCATGTTGACGAAAGTACTTTCGGTTCTCCTCAATAATTTGTGTTTCTCCTAAGGCTAACCTAACTGCGGCATCTCCTGACGATAAGTTGTCCTTAACTCCGAGAAGATCTCCCTTGCGGAGCCCCAATCGCTGCGCCAAATTATCTACAACTGCATCTCCACGTACAAAACTTGCGGACCAGCCTTTAGAAGCCTCCCCGGTAGATCCTTTTGTTTCTTTTTCCTTCCGAGCAAGTTCCTGTCTCTGTTTCCAAGATAATTTTTCACGATTTTCACTCCCACTGAGAGATTCTTGGGGAGGTGGACGGGCGTGCAGTATATGCAAAAGACGTCCTTGAAAATCAACCTTGTCTAATTGGTTCGTAGCTTCAATTGCGTCCACCGCGGATTCAAACGTTATAAAGCCGAATCCTTTGTTGCGTTTTTTATCGTCAACTGGTATATGACACTCCGTTACTTTTCCAAACGGAGAAAAGTATTCTTCTAATTCTTCTTCAGTTGTTTCAAATGCAAGATTTCGAACAAACAATCGAGTCTTTGAGGCTCCGATCGCCTCAGCTAGCTGCTTCGCTTCGTCATCCATGTCGTCGTCAGCACTCGTATCAATGTCGTCCGAGAGTTTCTGAATAGTTCCCTGGCGATGACTTCTGTGTTCTTGGTCTCTATCTATTGTCGAGTCACCGTCTTGATCGCTATTATCACTCGAGGAGGAACTCGAACTAGACGTGGAAGAGTTTGAATCTGAATAGTCATCGTTTTGCGGTTGTTCTAAATCGTCAACTTGCCTTTTTTTCGAACGTAAAAAATCCAAATCAGATAAGGTGCTTCCGGTTTTAATTTCGTGACTCGATTTTGCAATTTCATCCTCCCTGTGTGATTTATCGTCGTCTGCACTGCTACTGGTACTACTGGTGTCGTCACTGTTGCTATCATCGCAGCTTGGTTTGGGAAGTATCCCCGCAATTTCTTCGCCTCTGGTTGTATCATTGGACCAAAACTTTGAATTTGAGTTCCCAGCTCCCATGAGACTCAAAAATTCTTCCACTTTTTTGTCAGAGCCCTTTTGATTGGCTTCCACAGCAAGAACCGAAAGTGCACTTGAGCCTTGTTTCGAATTTTCAATCATGTTCTTATTTGGCTTCAAACCCTTCCCTTCTTGTTTCTCGTCTCCATCTTCATCATCTTTGAGTCCCTTTTCATCTCTCTTTGCTTTGGCAGCCTCGACTGTAATGCGACTCATGTTCAAATAGGTTCGATGAAATTTCCCAATAACGTGAAGGGCCTGTTCCGGTTGACGGAATCCAATGAAGGCAACCTTTCGGGATTTCCCTTGGGAGTTCTTGAGGATCTTACAGTCCGTGATTTGCAGTTGCATTTCTCTTTCATAGCTATTACTTCTGCTGCTCGCCTGTTTCTGGCGTTTTCGATGTCCTTGCTCGTTCAAGATGAATTCCTTTAAATCTTGCTCCGTAATCTTTGGAGGAAGATTTTTTATGCAAACTCGGGTTTTCGATACGATCGGTTCTACCATCATTGCCATTTTTTTGTCCAAAATATAGTTGTTGTCACTTGTTTCAGAGAACGATTTCAATGCTGTCTGCGTCGTCAAAAGTATTATTTTAAGGGTTGACGAGAACGCTTTCTACCGGTACGAACTTGGTCCCCGCCCATAAGTTTCAAAGAATTTGAGCTCGTTATCGTACAGAAAATTGCGCCGATCTGTGCAGGCGACGCAATATTGGTGGCCAGGATGGACGCAAAATGTACGGCCGAATATCGTAACCGTGTGCTTAGATGTAAAACAGAATACAATAAGAGATACACAGTACGAAGTCCGTAGAATCCTACAGGCGATTTCCGTGCCCCTAAATTCCAGTTATTGGGTCATCCCCGAAAACATATCTGTGTAAATTCTGGCACGCCCGGCTCAGTTTATGTATTGAAATACATAAATTTTGGTTGTTGTGGGCTCACGACAACCAACTTTTATGAAATTTTCATATTATTTTATTGGAATCCTTGAGTTAGCTTTTTAGTGTGACTGGGGGCATGCGCACTAAATGATATGCGCGCTATGCGTGATACGGATTCCAAAATTCCAAAAATGGGGGGAAATATGTAATTTGAGCAGGCCAGCTGTGCCTTCAGTACCACTGAAAGTGATTCCCAAAAACATATCTAGATTATGTTTTTGGGAATGGTCCATTGTAAGAGGGTAGAGCTCCTAATGTCAAGCTGGGAATGACCCATTGTAAGAGGGTAGAGCTCCTACTAGTAGTAATGTCAAGCGCAATAACATCAAAGTTATTGGCAATTCCCCAGCTGTCAATTTCTTTTTCATTTTCATGTATTTATTTCCCCTCTCCCATCCCCTCCACATAAAAAATATCAAGTTCCAAAATATTTCTATTAGCGGTTCTTACTACTAGGGATATAATATCAGTGATAAAATATTATATCCCCAGCAGTAAGGACCACTGCTGATAGAAATATTTTGGGATGAGTGAGAAATTAAACAATGAAATTATTTACATTTTTGTCAATTGGAAGCCTATTTTAAMTGTTTTAATTGTAAAAACGAGCTAAAAATTTCTATTGGTGTTTGTACTGGAATTGCCAATAACTTGACGTTATTGTGCTTGACATTAGGAGTTCTGTAAGAGGGCTTCATGTGAGGCAATATCAGAAGGACTAAAGGGATAGCCCAGACGTTTTGTTCAATGATATTTCTTCTGGGAATCAAAATTCTGCCTGCTTTTAGATGGTCCCCACACAGAGAACCACAAAATGTTAGGGTCATTTTTAGTGATCCTACTTACTACTGGAGAGGTAATTTAGCAGCACCAACAAAAACCCCTAACACAGTAGGTCCAAGTGCTCACTACTATAACATCCTCACTAGTAAGCAGTAATGGATGTTGTCCAGTAGTAAGTTCTTTTTTAGCGATTCTTGACCTGGTAAGCAATGAAATTACCTCTCCAGTAGTAAGGACCACTAATAGAAATATTTTTGGACTAGCAAAGTGTCTGGGCTCTCCCTTTAGTTATTATCATAAATCACAAGTGAATAGTGAGTGACAGCAATTAGCGCATACACTCAACTCACTCTTTATTGTTAATACATAGTTATACAGCACTAAAGAACATACATACAATTTGCAGGTTATGAGCAACAATAACAACACCCCAGCCCATCACCATCATCAGCAACAAAGACACAAAGTTTGATTTCCTTTCAACTTGACCAAGGAGTGCTGCACCTCCACCAGCACTTAACAAGCCAAGTCCTGCCCCAAATTTTGAACCCGGCAAAATTTTGGCAAGAGAGCCCTGTACAGAAGTCACATAGAATCCTACGATAGGAATTGTCAGAACACTGGTGTCAACAAACACCAACACCAAACCAATGATACCCACACTAAGAAACAACAAACACACAGCGGCCAGAACACCCGCATACCCCAAAAAACAGGCCCAAAACCCCCACAATAGGCAAATACCATGTCAAAAGACCCCACTAGTACACAAAGGCTACTTCTGGCACCATATGAAAGCAATACTGCAACAAGAACTGAGGGGTGCCCTTGAACGTGTCTTCTCACTGCAATCAACCCCAACAATCTATGACAATGTACAGTTTGCCTTTAAACCTAAATATCCCCCCCATCTGCTACCAGCTACACAACACCACATCTAAGTGTCCTAGTACACACCAGGAACCTTAACTGTACCAATAAACTACCAAGACCTACTGCATCACAACCACTTCCAGATCATAGACAAGGATTCCTGCTATTAGTACAGCACAGCACTCAGTGAATACATGAATACAATACTTCTCCTGGACATCCATACCCCCCTGGAACCAATCCCCACCTGAAGACTGTCTATACCTCCTGTACACCTAGCACCAACCTCAGATCCTCCCTCTTGTGTTGAACTCCAACAGCAACAATCATAGAAGGACACAACCATTCAGCAAACAGAAATAACCAGTGACACTGAATCATCTGATGAGTTGATGCGTGTCCCACCTGCCAACCTCCTCTAACAAGTTGCTAGGGAACAAGCACAATAGCCTATCCATATGCCCAAAAACAATGTGGACCCTGAGGAAGCTTCAGCAGAACACCTCACTGATCCTGAAGAAGAGGAAGACAGTATCAATGGGAGAAGATAGCTCACTATGAAAACCAATATGAGACAATTGACATTGAGACACAGTCCACCAAAGACAGCTTCAACACCAACACATTACCAGCAAACTTGCAACCCCTACCAGTGAACCAATCAATAGAAAGGCTACTCATGGGAAATGAAGCTAAATGGAACAACCATCTTAAGACAATAGAAAACAGGACCCTCCAACTGCAAACCAGATATGAATCAGTGATCCAATCCACATCAACTGACTGAATACAACCAAAGAGGCCCTAAATGCCACAAGAGCAGATTTTGAAGCAGCTACCACAGACCTTCAAACAGCCCTATCAACAGTAAATGCACTGAAGGAACAATTCCAAGCACAAGCAGCCAACATGGAAGTTCTCCTCTCTCTTAAACAGAACCTCAAAACCATCTTTGATGTAGCTGCTGACACTATTAACCTCAAAAACCTCTTTGGTGAAGCCAGTAGTATAGCCACCATAAGATCACCAAGAATTTTCACAGCAGAACTCACTGAACAGTTAAACCAGATAGTTGAACAGAGTACGGTGAATCTAAAAACAAAAACAAAATCAATTGAGCTGCAGGTAACAAGTGGAGTCCTTAAACAAACCAGACTCATGGGATCAACACTGGACACAACAATTCAAGAGATAATCTAGTATGACAAACTTGAACATAAAACCAACATTGTTCAAAGATTGAAGGACACAGTCATCTCACAAGCAATACAAGAGATAAGCTCTCAAGCAGCCGGCACTATTAAGGACACCCACAATGACCTTCTTGCAAAGACAAAAAACAATCTGAAACAGCTCTGTGAAAGCCATCTTGCCAATCACAAACATGATATCACAGTGGAGATGGATCAAACAGCATCAGCTGCCCAGGAGAAAATTGCCCTAACCAAACACATGGCAGAAGCAGATTTCACACAATCCATCCAAGAACACCCATCAACAGACCCCTTACTAGTCCATGACACTATCAAAACCAAAATAGATTCCTCCATTGATACCTTAGTGACCTCAAAAGACTTTTGCACCAAGAACATTGATACATCCACCATCCATCCCCAACACTGAAAGACCTAATCACAGATCAAGTACAAGACAGAATATTCAGCACACAAGGAGCCAATTTTTCTTATTGGTACTGATTGCTGATGCTGGAATCCTAAAAATTTTTTCCTTGTTGTATATTGGCCCTTCACTCTTCAAAATTTATGACCCCTGCTGACACCCACCATGCACATGGTCTTTTTGAAATACTTGTAATAATGATGATAATGCACATGTGGTACATCTAGTGCAGCAGTATTGGTGGCTTGCAACAACAAGAAGTGGGGAGGGTGGTATTCACTGGCTAATCATGATGTACCCTCCTTGTTGCAGACAAAGGAGGCACCACATCACTCTCCATACATTATGCCCAGCTCATTCAACTGTCAAAAGAACTACTAGACTGTTGCTCAGATGCAAATGATTAAATTCTGCTATCCATACTAGCTCAAACTCAGCAATCATACTAATCTCAAAATTGTAACAGAAGGCTATCTTCTATTGACAACAAGAAATTGCTGGTCAGGTTGCTAGTAGTTTTGATGTGACAGCTGTGCATCAGTTAGAATTTGGTGGTACTACTACACTACAGTAGGGCTGCAGTTGTATGTGGGTATGGGGCAACCTTTTGAAACTACATCAAAAGATATCTCAAATAATAGCAATGCATAGTAGAAAAAACATTCAGAAAACACTTTACTAGAACATAGCCATTACATGAATTTCATAGCTTTAAATTTGAGAACAGTGTTTTATTGAAGGAGATACTATTGCTAGTGCATACTAGTAGTACTACTTTCAGCTGGAGAGGCAATAGGTAAGTTTTTTTTCTTGTGAACTTGAAAAGGCACTGGGAACTTCACCAGAATTGACTGATGGGTTGAAAACTGGTACTAGTGGTGGTACTACCAGGGGCTACTAGTAGTAGTAGGATGGAGGTTCTTGTCTGGCAAATGTTGGGAACAATTGGAATAGAAAAACCTGAAATCAGTTTTGGCAGCAGGTTTGCGCAAATATCAACCCCTACTAGTAGTCAATGTGGTCAAAGTAGTCATAGATCTTTGTAAATCACAACCTCCCACGGTTGATTGATGCAATACGAAGTACTACCATGTACCAGTACTTTTCGTAACCGTTTTAGTACCCGTAGCGTAGATACCTAAAGTTTGAGTACGCACTTGTACCGGTACAAGCATAGTACTCAAGAATATGAGCGGACAGCTTGTATGTGCATGTAGCGCACCCATTTTGCATTTGTGCATGACTAACCGTACCATTACTCGTACTTGTACGATCACTAGTAGGTTTTTTTAATTGACACCTGACGAGAGGCTAGTAAATCTTTCGTCTGTCCATCATCCAAAAGCAGCTACGTCTGAATTTGCATTTCTTCCCCAAGAATTAACCGAAGTAGCAAACTTCCGCTCCTTTTCGATTATGGAATCGACAATTCTTTCCGACCAATGCTACGTACCTCAGCAAAGTCTCCATGAAAAGTGTATGAACACGGACAAACGTCCATCGTAAATATGCCTACTGACCCCAACCCCGATATGCTTGCATCTTAAAAGTCCTTTGAGCTTGGAACAAATTCCATTTATCGCAAGGAACCAAATGTCATACTCAGGAATTTCCTTGTMATTTATGGAACCTAACAATTCTTTCCAACCAATGCTACATAACGAATTCAGAAAGCTGCATGCTGGATTTTCAAGTTTGTAATTGTGCCAATTCTCGCATCTCATAAGTTCCTTGAAGCTCTCAGGACCTATGATTTCTCAATAGTCGAAATTGTAAAAAATTGGGAAGTCTCTTGGTCATTTTTGGCCATTATTGATCGCGCCAGTCGTATCGAAGAACAAATGGCACGAGGAGATGCTTAAATGCAAGATGTCAAAAAAAAATCGACAACTCATATTCTTCATTCTACATAGGTACCTGGTACCGTACTGTGTAATGGACTAAAAAGAAATAGGCGAGAAAGTCGTCCTCGGTGTAATTTCGTCCGATCTTTGTCTGATTCGTGTCGATTCCACCATGAAATCTTCGCTCTCTTGAAACGAAATTGTCCCTGTGTCAGAATGTGATGCTCAACGCAAGCAGAGAAGAAAAACGTGACAAACTTTCAACGCTCTTGACACCAGTTGATAGAAGTTGTATTTTTCATCATACAACTGTACGAAGTACCGAAATACCGTATTGGCAGTAAATTAGGATCCAAAACCGGCTCAATCGCATAATATATCTTTTCAATTGTAAAATACAGTTGACAGGTACGTTGATTGAAAATACCTTTGAGACAAAGCTCATCGCACTCTTTTTGAACGACGTGTTTTCGGTAGCTGCATAGCTGACTCTAACATAATTTTGCGCTCTCTACTCCAATATTTCCAACATCTTATCATCTCAGAAACGAAAAACTCGGTATCATGGCCTTCTGCGACGATATTGAAAATCTCTCTGAAGAGGCATCATCAGTCTGCGAATCCCTAGGGAGCAGCTTAAGCAGTGATGGCATTGTTACCGGAGTCGACACCTTTTTCTTGTTGTTTGCCGGAGCGCTTGTCTTTTTGATGCAAGCTGGATTTGCCATGCTCTGCGCAGGATCCGTTCGTCAAAAGAATGTGAAGAACATCATGCTCAAGAACCTCTTGGATGCGTGCGGAGGAGCTATCGGTTTCTACACACTTGGCTACGGATTTGCGTACGGAAGTGGAAATACATTCATCGGTGCTTCGAACTTCGCTATCACGGAAATGTCGTCTGGTCCAGATTACATTGGATTTTTCTTTCAGTTCGCTTTTGCTGCGACTGCCGCCACAATTGTTGCAGGAACCGTAGCTGAGCGTTGTAAGATGTCTGCTTACCTATGCTACTCGCTTTTCCTTACCGCATTTGTAAGTGTCGAAGAATTATTATATTGTTGCTGTTGTTCACTCTTGTTTTAAAACTGTGGTGACCGCATCGAAAGGTCGGAAGATCCTGAAGCTCACACACTACTTTTTTTTCGCAAATGAAACCCCAGGTCTACCCAATTGTGGTGCGATCTGTCTGGAGCAGCGATGGTTTTATCAGCGCATTTGCAGCAGAGCCTCTCCGTGGTGTTGGTAACATTGATTTCGCTGGGTCTGGTGTCGTCCACATGACTGGGGGTGCTACGTAAGTGCAATCATTTTTTAATCAGTGCAAATGAAACAGGAATTACAACATATTGACTTTCTCACGCATCAACTTTTTGCGAAGTGCTCTTGTGGCTGCTATTGTGCTTGGACCTCGCCGTGGACGTTTTTACGACGACGATGGCAACGCCCTCGAAACTCCAAAAGAATTCCCTGCCCACTCCACTGCTCTTCAGGTTCTTGGTACCTTCATCTTGTGGTTCGGATGGTTCGGATTCAACCCTGGATCTGCTCTGGCTATTGCCAACGAGGAGTCTGCTGCCACTGCTGCTCTATGTGCCGTTACCACTACCCTCGCCGCCGCGTGTGGGTGCGTTACATCCATGGCCCTTGATTCTTTCATGGACTACAGTGCTACTGGTGAAGTCTCGTACGACTTAACCATGGCCATGAATGGTGCCCTTGGAGGCCTTGTAGCCATCACCGCCGGATGTTCCGTCGTCTATCCCTGGGCTGCCGTCATCATCGGAATTATCGGAGGAATTGTGTACTACGCCTTCTCCAAGTTCCTCATCAAGATGAAGATCGACGATGCTGTCGATGCGATTCCCGTTCACTTCGCTAACGGTGCATGGGGAGTCATCGCTGTCGGTCTTTTCGCCGACAAAGACCTTCAGGCAATTGCTGGGTTCTCTGATGCTCACCAAGGGTGGTTCAACGATTTCGGCGATGCGAATCTTCTTCTGGTCCAGTTCCTTGCCATTCTCTGGATCTGCACTTGGGTGTTCGCGGTCATGACGCCTTTCTTCATGCTTCTGAATGCGCTCGGCATGTTCCGCGTTGATCCTCTTGAAGAAGAGGTTGGTCTTGATATCTCTCATCACCGTGGTACTGCTTACGATTTGGAACCTGCCAAACAAACCGATGTTGAAGAACTCATGGAGGTTCGTGCTTCTCGTCATGGAAAAGTTGAAGTTCCAAAGGAAGTCGCCCAGGCCGCCGAAGTTGCTGCAACCGATTAAATTTTGGCATTCGTTGCAAAACAAAGCCTTTTATGTTTCATGTCCAGTCAGTATCGAAGAATTGCATGTGAGCCCACTTTATGCTTTATTCTGAAGGCATAAAGTCGTGCCCCAGCTGGTCGTGAAAACTCATGCATTGAATTGTAATTTCACGTCCGACGCTGCCGAATCATATTGCATTCAAATTCTTAGTAGTACGGTATTAAATCAACAAAAAAATCAAATCTTTTTCTGTTCACAACTTCTTACGACGTCTCCGACATGAGATCCTTGGTAAAAGCGTTTTCAAGTGTTTCGAAGCGCACAAAAAGGTTGACACACAAAGCACCTAGTCTAGACTTTTCAGTGGCTTACGACCCGTGAGTGATGATGTCTGCACTTGATTTCTGCATTTTGGTCAGAGTTCTTCATAGGATAGTCATCCATTCGAATGTACGGAAACAACTGAGTGTTTGATTCAAAACAAACTACCATATGTTTGTTTTCGAGGCACTCTTGTTACAAACGGATCTCCGCCTTGTCTCTCGAATTGAACGAAATCGACACGCCTTCGGCGGAATGACTATCGCGACTCCATTCAACCAAATTATTTCGGTCGGATTTTGTTGGGCCACCAGTCCGATCAGATTTTCTCCTTCGCATTCAACTGCTACTTTGTCCTAGAAACTTCCTTACATACGAGGATGACTTTTCCCGTGCCCCATTGCGTCCTTTCCTGTATCCAAGCGCTGGATAAGAGCAAGAGACATTTTCTTCTGGTTTCTTTTATCCCATCTGTTTGGCTTTTTTTCTTCTTATCTCAGCTTTTGAAGAGTGATTATGACTCAACAAACTCGGAAAAACGTATAGACCATAACAAAATCTTTCTTGTCGACAAAACTATGAGCTTCGGCACAGTCGCGAGAGAGCTGGAAAAGTTAGTCTATCGAATTTTCGATGGAAAATTCCCACACATCGCGATACAGTTTCCCGACCCACCTCTGCCGCAATACTAGATATCGTTCATCGTGGTGAATCTGTGTAACCGTTCCAGACATTACGAAGAGAAATTATGACAGAGATGAGCAAGGAGCCCTTCTCGATTAAGGCATCCTGGCTGTTGTTGTCGTGCAACGAAAGGTGCGAGAAATGTACGTACATACCGGTAAGTGACGTATGGTACGGTACCGGACAAAATCTCGGATGTACCCTCTTAAATGCCGGCGGTATTTCGTATTTCCTCTCCTTTTTGGGTCAGTGTCATCAGGGTGCGGAAGCAAGATGAAAAAATCAAGCAGACGAGATTTTTTTATTCATTTACTGACCAAAAAATGCAAGCAATTCACTTTTGCCCTTCTTGTAAACATCAGGAAATAAAAACCAAAGCAATAATACCATTTCTACTAGTATTACTTAGTAATACAAGTACAAGATATGATAGAGACAACAATGTAACACAACTTCTGTACTAGTACTTCTGTAGAAATGTTGGCTATAGTAGTAGTAGTAGTAGTAGTAGTAGTAGTAGTAGTAGTAGTAGTAGTAGTAGTA